CTGCCTTCAACTCTCTTCCCTTCTGGATGTTACTCCTGAAAGACCACTTCCCAAACTCCTCTGAGACCAAGGGGCACTCCTAACAATAACTGCGTATCTGAGGACAGCCTGCCCTCATGAGTTAAGTGCATTTTTACATTTAATTAAAATAATTTCACATAATTTAATGCAATTTTTCTTTCTGAGGTAATTCTTTAAAAATCAATAAGCAGCTTTCAAAATCTTCTTTGTTAATATCAGAGTTTCATGCATTTTTCAAAAATGTCTAAGGCATTTTTATTTTATAGAACTAAACCATTCTCAAAATAGTATCACAAAACTAGAGTTGCTGAATGCTGGTCTATAAATACATTTTATTTTATTTATCCATTGTTAATCAATTGGAAGAAATTTATATTTGTAATAGCTGTTATTAACTATAGGTAGACTAAACAATTGAAAGGTAGGTGGGGTTCTACTTCTTAAAGTATCTATGTAAAATATGATCACATATCTATGACTTAATTTGAAGAAATCCCTTACCGAAGACCCAGAGAAATTGTTATGGCTTCCCCAGTCCTCTTGTCCTTCCTGAGGCCTCAGCCTAGCATTCTCAAGAGTGGATAGGCCCCTGACTCTCTGGGTAGAGGCCCTGTATCAGGCAGTGTTCATTAGGGCAAATGAGTTTCTAGATAGGCTTAAAATGGCTGCCCCAGAGTCAGGGGTAGAAAAACACAAAATGGCTGCTAGGGCACTGGAGCCAGAGATCCAATCAGAGGTGGGAGGCCTACAGCTCACTGCACAGTCCACAACAGAAAGCTGAAGAGCCTGTGGTGGAAGTCTGAAGGAACTGGAGATGAAGGTCTAAAAGCAATGGTGAAAAGTGGAGCTCCTCCAAAGAAGAAAAGGACAGATTCCTTCTTCTTTCCCTTTTTATTCTTTCAAGGCTACCACCTACATGTGGGTTGGGACTTCCCTTCTCAGTTTGTGGCCTACCTGTTAGTCTTCCATAGACAGAGCCTACACTGTTCTTTACTACCTCACTAGGCCTTTCTCGCTCCCTTGAAGTTGATACCACAATGAACTATCACAGGCCCATGGCTTAAACTCTGTGTTTCTGAAAATCCCTCTGAAGAGAGGCTTGGAGTAGGAAAGAAAGGACAGGAATTAAGGAGTTGCACTTATCCTATCCACGCCTAAGGACATATAACTCACCAAAGGCAGTGTCCTAAGGCCAAGCTGGTCATGTCTCTCACTAGCTGCGTCTTCTTCCACTGCCTTCCTAATCCTCAGCAGGAGGACTGGCTGATAGCACAGATCCAGCTGGTCTGTGGATTTCTCCTACTTCCCAAAGAAGTCCTTTTTTATTTCTTGCACATGAGGAATGTAAGGGTATGGGCATATGTTCAGCCAGGGAAGAAGGGAAACACTATTCTGCTCCACACTTATGAGAATAGATAATAAACAGTAAATTGGGGAAATCGATGAATGTACAGCTCAGTGGGGGCGAACCTATTGCTCACATGTTACAGTGGGCTATCTGTATAACTGAGACCTCTAAAAAGTTCTCATCACTAGTATACATTATTGCAAATTTTTGAATTGTTCTAAATCTGTCACTGGTTAAAGGGGTTAAGGGACTGAAATACAATTGTATAAAAAAGGATGCCACTTGGCATAAGTAGAAAATAAACAGAACAGCAAAGATACCAGAAAGCAAAGATACCAGAAAGATACCAGTGGTCGGACCTGCAAACATCTCAATACCAGTGGCGTTTGTACCCAACAACAACACTGACCTTTAGGAAGCAAAGGAGGTAAGATTATTCTTATCTTTGAAGTTACTCAGACTTTGGCATTTGTAAAGGGCTTTAATATTTGAGAGCTGGGTCAGAGACACATTGCGAAATGTTCTCATGGTCTAAAAAATCAATCAATGCCAAATGTTTTGTCAAAACTTCACTTCCTTTTGGAACCAAACTCCAGAGGGAGTTTATCCATGAACTTGGTTTCAAGTGGACACCATCACCAAATACTATTGCACAAGTGATATAAAAATTGTCTGAACTTAACATTTTCATAGCACTATATGCCAAGACAGGCAGTCTAGGTAATGGGCTGTAGACAGTTTGTTTCTGAAAAGCTGACTTTATATAGAAACAAAGTGCGAAGCATACAGAAAGACAGCTGCCGTGCCACTTATGGTGTCTGAAGTACCACCTGTCTTTAACTCTTGACAGTCCCTAGATTCTGGCCAATGTTCGTTTAAACTTGGTACAATTAGTGAACGCTATAAAGTGAATGTTTATGTGTCTTCAAGTTTCATGTGTTGAAACCTAACCCCTAGCATAGCTAGTCCTGGCAAAGCAAATCGTAAGTAATAAAGTACAGTTGTACACCAGGGTCCTGACCCAAGGGAATTATTGTCCTTATCAGAAAATATTCAGTTTCCTCGCTGCGTGAGACATCAACTTGAGGACTCAGCCCGATATTCCCATTGCACACCAGGAAGGGACCCATCCCGAGGACTCATGGCCTTGTAGTCTCCAGGATGGTAAGAAATAAAAGTTTATAGTTGGCCAGTTTGCCCTGTGGTATTGTCATGGCAGCCTGAGCCGTGTCACAGCAAATAGGAGGCACTGGTTCTCTTGTCCTGCCTCTTATCCATATCCCTCACTGGACTGTCACTCTCGGGCGTGAGGCCTCCCCATGTCAGGTGATGGTGCACACCTGTCATCACAGTTCTCATTAGGTGACGGTGGGCAGGATCCCTACAGATGGCTTACTGTTCCACTGTGGTAACTTACGTATCATAATGAGAATGGTCTCTTCCTCAGACCGCCTCCTATGCTTCTGTCCTGCAGGCCTGTCGGCTGCTACTGGAGGTAACACTGTATGGCCATCCAAGCACCAGGATCCACCACAACAAGCTGTTATCACCTTGCAGTCCCTGGTTTCCAAGCTAGGTTGCAGAGACAGGTGTGGTGTGTAAAATACATTTCACTGGCTTCCTAAACACTTGTCATCCTTTTGCCAGTGACCTGGAAGTTCAGGTCAGAGACTCAAAAACCCTGTCGCTGCCAGTTTTGAGAACACTAGGACTTGGGCCAGAGCCCCACAAGGGCAATAATGTGGGCGTCCTGGAGTGACAGAGCTTGGGGTCGTCACAGGACTGCGCAGCACAGCATCAGGACACAGTGGCTCTCAAAAGAAGAAGCAGTTCTGCCAGGAATGGTGGTGCATGCCTGTAATCCCAGCACTTGGGAGGCTGAGGCAGGAGGATCCCTGTGAGTTCAAGACCAGCCTGGGCTACATAGTGAGTTACAGGTCAGTCTCGGCTACATAGTGAGACTCTGACTCAAAAAAACAACAACAAAAGAGGAAGCAGTTCTAATTCATGAGCATTTGGGGCATAGACCTCACACGAGGAGCTGCTGCAAACACCGGCCTCACCCTCTCAGCCATTACATCTGCGTCCCTTGCTGTGGCTTTGAAGCTGGGCGCTCTTGGAGGTGCTGTTCCATAGCCTCATCAGTGACACACAGGGAAAGGAAGAGAACAAGGCAAGTGCTGCCTATTCTGGGCCACATTTGCAACCTCAGGCAGAGCCCCTGGGAAGCATCGTCATGTACACAGAGCTCGGCTCAATCGCAGGCTCACCACAGCGATGGGCAGTGCATGCACACCCAGCCTTCCCTGCTTCTCTTTCAGTATGGAACAAGGAAGGCCGCAGGCTGGTGTCTGCCTTGTGCTCCTGCCTGCCACAGTGGTGCAGACAGCCGTGGAAGGGAGGCTGGACAGTTCTGAATCTGGCTGCACCTGGCCCTTCCTGCCCAGGGCCAGAAGGTGGTCCGGCTGCCCATTCCATGTGGACGGCATGGAGCAGTAGCAAAGTTCAGGGAGAGCAGGTCATTTCCCAAATGGGAAAACTAGCTGGGAAGTAAGCCCGGGCTCCTCTGGTACCAGTGTGGTTCTTCACAACATCCCGACCTGTTCAGAGACAGAAGAGACAGTGCCCAGAGCACCACTGACAAGCTCCCACGTCTCCACACTTGCAGTGCTGAGAGTTTTAGGAACTTGCCTGTAGCTCATGCCTTTCCCTCGACATTAAAAGCACCGCATGTGGGCCGCAGTGCAGCCCGTCTCTGGCAGGAAGGCTGTGGCGGGGGAGCAAGATGCCATGGCATGGGTGTCCAGGAACCCAAAGGTGGCCTGGGAGGCCTGAACCGGGGACAGAGAATTCCAGCTGGGAGGAGGTCTAAGGGCCCCAGTCAGGATTAAAGGGAGTCTGGAATCAGATCACTTTTGTGGATTTAAGCCACACTTAGTGAAACAAACCAAGCTTACTGGGAATACCAGCAGGACCTCTAGCAGGAGCCCAAGTCCAGCCATGCTCCTGAGCAGCCGAACACAATGGGGCCTGGATAGCGTCTTTCCTCAGCTGCCGACTGACTTCTTGACAGAGCAGGGAGCTTGGGTGGGTTCAGAGCCTGCACGGACATGGGAAGACTTCTGTGGAAAATGAGAGGGAGGGTGGTGTGGACGACTGTTTAAACAAGCCATCAGCCCGGTGAGGCCCACGCCTGGAGTCTGACGCACCAGCATGGTTATTGATGAGAAAAGTGGCTTTGACAAGTTCAAGGTTCCGCAAAACCAACTCTTCAAGCAGTCGGAGGTACTAGGTGTGAGGAGGGGTGTGAGACGCTGACACTGGAGGACGACAGGAAGCAGGCCTGCTGGGTGGTGTCCCGGGAGGCCCGTCCGCTGGATTTCTGCAGAAGGCTCCCTCCGTTTTCTGTTTCTCGTTTTTCTTTGTGTTCTTTCTTCCCATCCCCTTCCGTCCCTCCTCCTCTCCCTCTCCCTTTCTTTCTCCCCACTGTTTCTCTCCTTCCCCTCTTTCCTTATCTCCTGTTAGTTTTGAGAATAAGATCCTTTCATCTGGCCTTGCAACCTGTCACACATTCGTATGTGACCCTGAAATGAGTTCAGCTCCCAAACATTTGGCCTATAAATTCACTCACCGCTTAACCCGTCACGAAGGCCATTCATACTCCTGGGCTGCCTCCTAGTTAACACTCAGTCCGTGCAGGGAGAGAATGACAAAGATGGCTCTGGGTGTAATCACGCTGAACTATTTCACTCTGACATCTGTTCCATAAGAAGAAATTATAGCTAAGTATAGAAAAAAGGACAAACATGCTCCACGTTGGTGAGTAAGGGCCACATGTACCACAGCAAATATCACTCCTAAGCATGTTTTCATAACCTGCTGAATTTTCTACAAACAGTGCTCAGAAGCACTGAACACTAGAGGACCCCACGGTAGGCTCTCAGCAGCACACAACTGGCTGAATGGTGATGCCCAACACGGACTGCTTCCACTATTTTGCTAGCAAGCAACCAGCACACACACTCATATGCATCCGTGCACACACACATTTTATATACACGGTTATATGTATGAGATGTGATTGAAGAATGACAGCGAATGTTTAAATGTAAAAATGTATTACAGTAGAAGACACGCTGCCATTAATCTCTCACAAACGCTCCCCTCCCTTGGAATACGTGCGTGTCATCATTCTTGTCACTGGCTGAAGCTGCTCCACGGTCCTATTTCCTGAGTGTGCTCAGGTGCACTGCTGTGGCTGCCTTGATGTTCTGATCTGATTCAAAACTGTCACCTTTCATTCTCATTCTCCCTTCTGAGGAAGCGCCAGAAGTCACATGGTGCTGTATCTGATGACAAAGGTGGTGAGGACACAGCGTGATGTTTTTAGGAGCTGCCTTTCGGCTGGGTGGCGCTCAGCAGCAGCATTCACAGTAATTTTCATTCCATCTTATAAAGACACTCATGAAAGAGGACCTCCAGAAGTGCTCCAGAAAGTAACAAGAAGAGTGAAATGTGTGTTCAAAGTAAGGGGGGGGTAATTTGAGGAGAATTAATGGCAATGTATCTTTTACTGTAAATGCCTCCAAAAGTAAACATTCACCATATATTTTGATCATTCTATCTATCTATCTATCTATCTATCTATCTATCTATCTATATATCTATCTATCTATGTATATATGCTCAAAACAAGACAGTCACCAGCAGCCCACTGTTTCTTAGGTCCATGGCAGGGAATAAATTTTGTTACTTGCGCTGCCCTTGGGCTCATTTGCTGCTGGCCAGACACGCCCTGCTGTTCCAACACTGAGGAGGACAAGAGTCTCCCTCTCAGCATCTGTGAACCTCCATGTACACATTTCTAAGCTGTACCTTATTTTCAATCCGCCAGCTTTTCCTTTAGCAGGATGTACACGTATGAGCACTTCCTCCTGTTAAATGAGTGCACAGCCTCAGATGACCAGGGCAGCTTCACACCCAGGACCAAGACAGAGCTGGTCCTGAGCTGGTGGGAAGGAGGTTGAGAGAGTACAGGCTGTGCCGGAGCTCTGAAGGTTAGAGAGCTAAGGAAACCATCAAGTGCTATGGGAGAACAGGATTCAGATCACCCCAACTGGGGAAGGACCCCAGAAGGAAGACAGGTGGAGCAGCGCAAAGATGAGAAATCAAATCATACAGAAACATCACTGAAGTGTAAAACAAGGAAGATTTTTTTTTTAATTGCTCAAATGTTTGAAAAGCAGAGCCATCAATGAGAAGCTACCAGGACACATCAAAAGGAAGCCAGCACGCACTCCAGAGCCTCGCTGGTGACAACTGCGAATACTGATGAACTGGTTTCCCATCTGACTTTTAGCATTTGCTCTTTGGTGATCTTTCTTCTGATCTCCTGAGCAAGCAAAGAAGAAACTGTGTGGCAGGAGCTCTGAGGGGCTTTTTCCTCACTCACGTCACACCTCGATCCCGGCGATAACGTGAAGTGAAGATTGAAAGATGATTGAAAACTCCTATGAAAATATCAGATCTGCACAAAACCCTTTAAAAAGCTGAATGTTTCCTCAATGCCTATAATTGAAAAATAAAGTAAAGAAACCCTCTGTTGTGATGTTTGTTAAAATGAAATGTTTGCACCTCCACCTCCCACCCACTTCCAGAGCTGTGTGTCCTGGGTCAGAACCCAGCGCAGTCTTTTTGACAGGGAATTCAGCCCTGCACAGCCACTTTCTCCTCTCTCTGGGACTCCTCTCTCAGGTGGGGGCCCTGCTAGGGATAAAACAGAAGCAGCAGCAGGGCACGATGAGATGGGCATGGCTCCCCTCGGGCCCACGGTGGCCCAGGAACTGGCGCAGGCTCTCAGGGGCCACTCGCCAGTGCCGGGGAGATGGGTGTTCCCGGCTGTTTCCCAAAGTGACCCACCCCACAGGTGGCCGTCCCGTGGCTCTCCGGTGTTCCCCCGAAGCAGTCCTGTGTCCAGATGAGTCAGGCTGTCCTTCAGTTCTCTTGAAGGACCTCTTAGTCAGTGACCGTTCCCCGAGGTCAGCTTTTCTCAGCGGAGCTTTCAGAGGTGCTCTGGTCCTTAGCTAAAGCAGTGCGTCCCCAAATTATCCCCTCTCTGCTACCTATGAATGATGGCAAAGTCAGGATGAAGTCATCAGGGTGAGCCCCGATTCATGACTGTGTCTTTATGAAGGGAGAGCACCCACACACGCACACACACAAGGCAAGCCACATGAAGACGGCAGTGTCGTCACAGCCAAGGAGTGTGGAGAAGTGGGTAAGGCCTGGCCCGTTCTCCCCAGAGCTTCTGGAGGGGCTTATCCTGCGACCCTTGGACCTGGGACTTTAGCTTGAGGACTGTGAGAAGCCAGCTGTGGCTGGACGTCCACCTACGTGCAGTGCTTTGTCAGCAACATTCAGTCCGCGAAGCCGCCGTACCTGGAGCAGCATGTCTCTGACGGCCATCATGGGGCACCGACTGGCTGGGACCTGGCACAGCCCCCAGCTGTGAGGATCCGGTGAGAGCCACTGGCAGCTCAGCCAGGGACTGTAGTGGGGCAGGGCCCCGGGCTCAGGGCCCCGGGCTCAGGGAGCTTCAAGGAGATCGCTGATTTCCCCTTGACTGCTCCTAGCCTTCCCTGCCTACTTAGAGAGACCCCCGGAGCCCCTCATTTTCCTTAGTCCTTGACTTCCCACTGTGACAGTGGGAAGGGAGGCACCTGCCTGTCAGGAGCGCCATGCCTGTGAGGACCTGAGGAGGAAGTCAGGCCTCCCTGTTAAATCCTCCCGACAGCTCACGGAGCTCTCCAGATGCCCCTAGCACAGAGGCTCATGGTGTAGCTTCCTCCCCAGCATCCAGTGTGTGCTTGGCCCAGCACTCAGCTCCTGGCCCCTAGAGGGTTAAACCCAGGGGACACACCAGTGTCCACCCTCCCACACCTGTGTAGGTGCCAGCCCACACGCTGCAAGTTACAGCAATGTCAGGGAGAAAAGGAAAGAGGCGCGTGGGCTTCTGCACCCATTCCTCGGTGTATGCTCGAGCGGCAGAGACGTACTGCTCTATTCTCAAAACATCTGACCAAGTGTGCTCTGTATTCATTCATTTTAATGAATAAAACATGCTTAAGTTTTCTGTCTACACAGCACTCATTTGATGCATCTCTCCACAGAGCACAGCTAAGATTTGACTGAATTATTTTCCAATTTTATTTTAAAATGAAATGCAGAGCTACACCTACGTGTATTAGTAGTATAGAAGTGGATTTCTCTCATCTCCCATTTGCCTTCTGATCTCCCTTCCTCTGTAGTGATCTCCCTTATAATCACACTAGTGTGTCTGTATTAGTCACCGGTGCTGTGTAACAAATGACCACACAGTTTTAGACCTCACGGTCTCTGTGGGTCAGGAGTCTGGGCCTGGCTTAGCAGGGTTTTCCACCAAAGTCTGGGCAGAGTACGGCCGGCTGAGCAGGGCTGCATTCTGGTGGGGAAGCGGTGTGGGCAGATTTCGGGCTGGGAAGTCCCCACTGCTTCTTGCTCTTCCCTAATAACTCAGGAGTTTCAGCAGGCTCAGGTCTCCCCAGGATGACTGCCTGCTCGTGAACTTGAAGTCCAAGGGTCAGGGAGCTGGCTCAGTTTGTCTGTGTATCTGTAACAAAACACCTTAGGAGGGATAATTTGTAGAGCAATAAAATTATTTCTCACAGTCCTGGAGGCAAGAAAGTCCAAGGTCAGCATCTGGCCAAGGCGTGTTCTCCAGCAAGGCCTGGGCATTTTCAGAAGGCAGAAAACAGATTCAAGCAGATATGAAGGTGCTGTTCACTGAGAATATAAGCCCAGGTGTCCTGCTGGTGGAGGCTTCATGACCTGATCATTTCCTCGCCTCTTAACACCATCACAGTGGAGAGTTCCAACATGAGTCTGGCAAGGACACCAACTTTCACATGACGCAGAGACTCGTTCTATCTGCAAATGCCTTCCATTACCACATGATAGAGAGAGGCACAGTAGTGACCTCCAATCGCCTTCAGCTACCTGCAGGGGTTAGGAGCCTGAATGTGACCCCGCTGACCCCAAGGGCGGGCGGTCGCGGAAAGGTAGGGGCCTCTGCCTCCACAGCCTGCTGTATGGCGATAAGATGCTACTCGCTGTGTGAAACACAGTGACCCACACCAGGTCACATATGTGCTTTACACTGAACCAATAGGTCTTTCCCAGAGGACACTGACCCAGAATAAGGGAGTTGAAGGGATCTGTGCCTAAATGTCCTAGCTCCCCGGATCATTTGTGGTGACAATTTTGACCTTGGACTTTAGCCTCCCGGAGTGTGGAAATATATTTATTTTGCTTATGAATTATCCACTTTGAGACTGGTTCCTGCATGATTCAGCCTGTGCCAGGACCGAGGCCTAGCTTTTCACTGAGGTAACACAGGTAACCATGGCCCTGTACCAGCTGCTTTTCTTTCCTATCTCACTCCCAGCCCCCATGCTGGGCTTTTCTGGTATCACTTCCCTAATGACATACCTGCCTTCTGCTTCGGACTTGTGGAGCCACCAGGACACATCCCTGAGGTGCACCTCAGTGTGGCTGTGTGCATTTACTGCTTAAGTGCAACAATATACTTCTACTCTCTTCTAGTGTGGCTGTTAATCAGACTATTTCTGCCTGAGTACATCAGGAAACGCCTAGCAGATTAGTACAGCAGAGGGTTGAGTATGTCTGTGGATGATTGACATGTAGGCCAGCCAACTAGAGG